CCTTTGCATCCAGGGCATGGCCCATGGGGCCTCTTAGGGCAGTTCCTCTTGAGGTGGCCTGGCTTGCTAATAGATGCCATGGGCCTTCTGCTACAGACATGGTCCTGAGGTTTGGAAAATAGTATTATGTAATCAAGCCAGCTGTATGCGAGAGGATGGGGACCTGAACCAGGTGTGCCTCGCCCCAGAGCGCATGCTCCTCCCATCGAACCACGTGAGCCGGCACGCCTGGTGCCTGTTCCCTAAGCTCTGGAAGCAGGCAGCTTCCAAGTCCCCTGTGCGGGTGTCCCTGGGCCTGAGGGGAGCGGGGGAGGGGCACTTGAGAAGGGCATGTTCAGACACCGGTTAAAATAAGTGTCCTAGCCTCTTGTCTTGCCTTCATATTCACAAATGTTCATTTCTTTCTTTCTCTTTTTTTATTCTTCCTCGGGATGATGACTGACAGATTAATATATGTCTAACTACATGTCTCAGAAATCAAAAGGAAGGTGCTGTCAGAATCACTTGTCAGAAAATGAGATTAGGCGCACTTGTCATTTGCTGAGGATTGCAGTCTTTCAGAGATAAGGTTTCATTTAATGAGGGTAAAAAGCCTCCTTTAAAAAAAAAAAGGAGAGAGAGCAAGGGAGTGAGGGTGGGGTAGGAGAGGAGTGATGATTCTTTTTTCTGGTGTCAGCCAAGTGTTTTATCACCTAACGCGGTCCCCTGGCACCTGGTAGCCACTGATAATGGCCGCCTGGCCTCCTCCACCTCCTCCGCTGCTGAGCCACTTCAAAGGCTGCTTGCTACCTGCTTTTACCCCTCTTTGGAAGCCGATGCTCTTTTTCCTGTGGGAAGAGGGAGCTGAGCATGTACTCTAGATTTAAAAGCGGACTCAGGAAAGCATGCAGTGTAAAGGAAATGTATAGTCACATTCCCCACAAACTAGAAAGAAGCCACCATGGATTTCGGTGAGACGTGGAGCTTGTCTGACTAGTGAAGGGTGACTAATGAGGAACAGCGCTGGATCCCATTGCAACCAATTGTGTTTTGTTATGGAAAGTATTTATCAAGTTCTTTTGCATTTGTTGATTTCTTTTAAAAAGCGACACAGAAAGAGCTTCTGGCTTGTGACTTGATGTACCTCAGGCACCCCACGATTCAGATTGGCAATTTCTGTCCCATTATTGAGCTTCTTACTGCATATCAGCTGTAGTCTGTACTACAGAAATATTTCAAATTAATCTCCCCCCACCCAGTCATGGAAATTGCCTCCAAAATGAACAGCTTCGTTATGGAGAACGCACAGGATAAAGCAGAAAATCCACATTTAGGAAGTGTTTGTTTCAGCTCTCTACTGCAACACTTAGTGGTGTGAAACCTGAGGCCCTCTCTCCTGTTGCTGGATTTGGTGAATGAGGAATTTGGACAGCGGGTGTCAGGGCAGCTTGTCTGGGTGACTCAAGCGGCCGGGAGCTGGAATTACCCGGAGGCTCTTTGCTCCCACGTGGGCCACTGGGGCAAGGCCGACTCCAGGTGAGCCTAGCTGGGGCTGTCCACGGGGGCATTTCCACATGTCTTTTCCATGTGGCTTGGGCATTCCCAGAATGGCAGCTGGGTTCCAGAGGAGTTCTTAAGGGAAGCTTCCAGAAAGCAAGGTAGCAGCAGCCAGCCTTCTTCTGACGTAGCCTAGGCAAATCCCGGGGAGTCCCCTCTGCCATAGGATTGAGGTGCTCACAGCCCACCAGATTCAAGGGAAACCTGTGTGGAGCCACAGAGTGTGTGGAAGGATTTGCAGCCAGGTTTTTAAATTACCATAATGCCACAACGGGTTCCTTCTAGTGGTGCTTTCATTCATTTCCCATGGACAGACTGGTCCGTGAACCAGATGGCATTTGGGTTCCTTCCTCCTGACTCGGCAGCACAGGTTGGTCCTGTGAGAGAACAAGAGAGGGGGAGACGGTGAGTGCGTCACTGCATGGGCAGTTGGCTGTGTGCGGTGTCATATCCCCGCTCTCAGCTGCAAAGCTCCAAACTGACTCCCTGACTTCACCTAAATGTGTGCCTTTTCATGCCCCGCCAGTTCTACTCCATTCCACTTTTCAAAAGTACTCTGTATGTAGGGCCTCTATTTTCTTACCAGTTCAGTACTTACTTTTAATACATAATCTGATGTCACCCAATTCTCTGACAATTCTCTTGCTGCTCACCAGAGACCCTGCAAGTTGCCAAGCCACACGTCTTTTCTGAATCCTTATCCTGCAGTACTTGTAAAGCATTTGCCATTTTTTAGTTCTTTTCCTTTTAGTTCTCCCATCACACCCCTTTCTGTGGCTCCTTCCCTCAGCCACTGAAGGGGTAAGGCGAGGTTTTGATGAGGTTAAGAGGCGTACATGGCCAAATGCATGTCCAAATCTTGCATTGCCCCTGGGCTGTCCTCAGAGTGGAACCAGAAGGAGCCAGACATACAAGGAGCACTAATAGCAATAATAATAGATATGTTTATTGAGTACTTGCTATGTGCCAGGTGCTGTTCTCACTAATTTAAAATCCTCAGAGCTCTGAGATAGGTTCGTTATATTTTCCACTCTATAATGAGAACACAGGGACAGAAAATAGGGAAATACTACTTTTTTGGTCAGCTGAATATTAATATCCAGAGCAAACCTCTTTGAACTCTGTGCTGGAGCTAGTGAGTACCTTCAATTCCCCATGGAAGCAGACCCTTCTCTTCCCCCAGTTAGTATACATTTTATTATTAGTTGACCAGCAAGCCTAGAATGACTTCCAAGAGGCCCCAGATAAGCTTAGTCATCACCGTCCTGGAGGCAGGGAGAGATAAGCCAAGCATGTGCAGGACTTTGTTAGTACATGTGTGCGGTATTTCAGAGCATAGGAACCCTGTCATCTCGTAAATCAGCCCCAGTCCAAGTCTTAAATGCTAACCCCTCAGGTTAGCAATCCCAAGGAAAATGCTGGAAGGAAAGCTGAGAGAATTTGCCTTTCCCCCATACAAACACCAAGTTGTTAGAAAAGTGAATGGATACTATTCAAGGGTAATGAGAAGCAAGGAAAAGCGACGGGATGTTACCAGTTGAGGACCAAAAATGAAAGGTTGTGGGCATTACTAATACCATCTTTAATCTTTTCTATGAAGTTTGAGATTTTTCAAACTAAGAAGTTGGGAAAAACATTAACAGAGAGATAAACAGCACCAAAAGCCCAGGTCATCCTGAGAATAGGAATCAACAATAAATACACAGGAAAACGATCTGCAGCCAGGAATTTTCTGGTCTGTCAAAGGGGGAAGTGCCAAGAGAGAAGGAAAAAGGTACAATCTGAGACATATGGTGCTTCTTAGGGGGGTGCTCAGCCTGCTCAAGAGGCTAATTTAAGGCTAAATCTTATCCCTGGATCCGACAGCCCTTAATATGACCCAAACTTTCCATTACCAAATTCTGGGGATTTAAATCCTGATATTGTGTGCTTGAATCTGGAATCCGTCTCATCAGTTAAAGATCTATCCTATTGAGGCCACATGTGTCTGTACAATAAGCTCTTTTCAAGCCAAACTTTCATGTTCAAAAAAAAAAATCCTGAGAGGAAATACATGTGGTCCTCTCCCTTCAAGCCCAGTTCAGGCTATTTATTGTTTTATTTGATTGTCGAGAAGTCAGGAATGACTGAGTTGGTTCCCAATGTGGTCTGCACATTTCCTTGGCTAGGAATGGTCTATGAGGACAAAGCTCAGCTTAGAATTTAACAGTGTTCTGGTCTGTGTGGATTCAGGGAGGGTATGCGTATTTTTTTTCTTTCTTTCTGAAGTGCTTCCCTTGTGGTTTTCAGATTAAAGAGTGCTTGATGACACGTTTACCCTTTTGGTTTTGTTTTTAAAGCACAAAGCTGACAAATGTGTTTAATGGGGCTGCAGTACCAAATGACAGCAGCATGGAGCCCAAGAGACTCCCTTGTTCCTTGACTGTTGTGATGAGGAACTTGAACTGCACTCACCAGTTGGAAAGAGTAAATGCAAACCATTGCACGCCTCTGACACTTCTCTGATTTACTAGGAAATTCCAAGAGAGTTGGGCGGCAGGGCGGGGGCAGGGAGCGGGTAGAAAAGGTAAATTGAACATAATGCCCTTCCTAGAAATTGATCGCATAAACATCAAGCAAATGGAAAGGGGAAAATGTTATTTTTTTTAGCCCAGAGAACATTCTTTGTTTATAAATTAAGTGTTAGATCACAAAGTATCACGAGATCTCATGAGCTAGAGAGAGACCAGCCCAATTCAGGCATTTTAATGGTGAAGAAAAGGTGAAATAACGACTCACCAAAAATCACAACTAGGGATAGTGGACCTGTTCTAGAACCCAGGTCTCTTGACCTTCCTAATCCAGTCCGGTCCTCTTTGCAGCCCCTAATCTTCCTTGTGATGGGCTACGCTAGACCTGCAAATGGTTTCTAAAGTGTACCCGAGTTGGCTGCTAATGAGATCAGGTCAATTCTCTAATCGTCATATAGGTCAGTTATTTGTAGTCGTTTTCCTAGCCTCGTGTTGTACCCTGAAACTCAGCCAGTCATTTCACAAATGCATGTTGTCAGCTGTAAGTGAGCACTGGTAACTGAGAGAAAATCCATCTCCACCAGTGCTAATGGAAAAACAACTCGAAGCACACTGTCTAGTGGAATATTGTTTGCAGCTTGATCTTTGTATATGACGGACAACATCGTAAATTAAAATAAAAGCTACCAGCCAACTACTGTATTTTTACCAACCTTTTTTCTTCCCCAAGAAAATGCATTGCCAGGGAAATAAATAGCATTCTTTACCAGCAGCACAAAGAGAAGTCTTGTTAGTTATAGGCGAGTGGCTATTTGAAAGCCTGGCTACAATTTTCCTGTTTTACTAACACTTTTAATTAAATCCATCAACTCCCTCTAAGATTCTGTGTAAATACCAGATGCTCCATATATTTTTTGTCTCCTGGAGAATATGAAAAGTTGTACATTAACAGTAGAGGAACTTCAAAGGAGGCACAAAACCCGGGTGAAAGCAAGGGGAGTTCTGATTTCCTGTGAGTTTCTTGAAATTCACAAGGGCAAGGGCAGCCTCCATACTCAAACTGCACAGGCCCCGCCCCATCTCTCGCCTGAGTGGTTGATGTTAACTTAACATCAGCGCCCTAGTTCGGGAGCAGATGGCCCGAGTGGGGCATGGTGGGTGGGAGAATCAGGCAGGCCCTGCAGGAGGCGTTCAAGAAGGGGAGGAGAAGGCTATGCCTCCCTGTGGGGCTGCAGCCTGCTTTTCATGTGCTATTGAGGCCGCCCCCACCAGCTGTCACTTGGGTTCATTCTGTCCATTATTTGGGGAAGCAGAAGAGGAGGTTTGGGATGGCCCCGAGTAGATCCATCCTTGCTACTGGGAGCGAGAAAATCCTCTTCCGGCACTTGTACTACTCAGGGGGATCAGCTACCCATTATCAACTGTTTGTCCTTCCCTATACAATAAGTATAACTTTTTGTCCCAGAGGGGATGATATTTCAGCAGTAGGCAAAGCGGCCCCCTTTGCTTTGATAGAATTAAATGTAGTTGCTTAGGGCTAGGAGAAAACTGAGGAAGTGTTAAGTGAATCAACGTACCTGCTGGTACTTCAATTTTAGTGTATCCCAGGGTGGGTATCTTGGCATTTGTAACAAAATCTGGGAAAGGGTGCTCTCCCTCCTCTCATCGATGTAGTCTGAACAAATTCACCTCAGTCCCCTTCTTCTTCTTCTCCCTCTCCTCCTCCTCTCCCGTCCCCCTCCCCTCCCCCTCCCCTCCCTCTCCCTTCCCCCTCCTCCTTCTCCTTCTCCCTCTCCTGCTCCTCTTCCTCCCTCCTCCTTCTTCTTCTTTTTCCTGAACTTACTTTAAAACATTTAGCACTCCTCAGTTTCCATGTGGGAGGGGCCATCCCATCCCTGCTTACTTGCACACTCTGTCCTTGGCTTTGGGGCTTTCCCACACTAGTCTTGGTAGGCAGGTTGCCACATAGTTCCCAGAGATACATTCCTCTGGTAACTAAAGGGTTAGGACTTTAGGTCGGACTCTAAGATTATCCAGAACCTGTGATAAGGTGTGGAAGGAAGTGAAGAATAGAAGGACAGAGCCCCTGGCCTGTGCCACCTCAGCTACTTTCAGTTTCTATTTGAAACTGAAATCACAGAAGAGCTGTCAGATGGCAGCTGTGCATTTGGTGGAAATGAGAATTCCAGATTTTATGCTAATTCGGTTTCAGGTTCCTTTGAACCTGCAGTTTATGGGGCCGCGCTTAAAACTGCAATCTGTTTTGGATAAAAGAAGGGATTACCAAAGACTTTTTAGTTTTGCAAATATTTCCAGCCTCCGAAAGAAAAGGGGGAGGCCATATTTATTCTTTCATTAATATTGTTACGTTGTTTCCTTTACTTTGTCAAATACAAAAACTTTCTCTTATTTCAGCAAAGATTTTTATTTCAGCTGGGGAAATGTTAAGTGAATCAACCTACCTTACTGCAGGATTTTTTTTTGTTGCTGCAGCTGTTACTGGTCTTTCCTTTAGTGCTGCTTTCTGCACCTTTCCCTTGGAAAGGCGGGAATGCCACGCGGCCCGGATGCGTCTCACCTTCCTGGCTTGTGCTCACCTTCCTCCCCGTGTCTCAATGTTGCTGACCCAGATGGTTCCTTCAGTTTGGACTGCTATGTAGCAAACCACAGATGTAATATTAATTGTGTATTCACAGCATTACAGTATGGACTGAGCTATGCAGAGACAGCTCCTCCTTATTCCACAAGGCTTAGAGGTGACCTCAGCTGGAGCCAAAGAAGCCACACCCAAGATGGCTTCTATGTGTAGAGCATCAGCTGGGAATTCAGCGAGGTCTTTGGTCCTGAGGCCTGTTTTCCTCTGTTGAGCTGCTTGGGTTTCTGTACAACATGGATTCCAAGTATGAGGAAACAGAAGTTGCCAGGTGTTCTTATTACCTGAGCTTTGAGGTTCTAGAACACCACTTCCTCTGTATTCTGTTGGTCAGAATTCACAAATCCAGCTCCGATGCCAGTGCATAGGTGCCGCTTCTCCTAGGAAAACGCCATGTACATTCAGAATTATCTAAGGTTGTATTTAGAGACGAGCAACCATAATGGTGGATGTATTTTATTTGCTATCATTTTCGAGTGAATTTACCTGTTTCCAGTTCTTAGCTTTGTAGGTTCCTGTATTGTATGAAATCCAAAACTGGTGGCAATGACTTTACAGTTTAGTATATGCCTTTATTCACTTCTGTTTTAGTTGGCAGAGAACTGGTTTCTTGTTAATTAATTTGTTGGTCTGACCAGTTTATTGATGCTGTCTTCTACATTTAAAGGCATGAGAGCATTGTACCAGATGCTAAGGGGCATGGCGGTGGTAGAGGTGCTCGTGTGTGTGTGTGTGTGTGTGTGTGTGTGTGTGTGTGTGTGTGTGTATGATCACATCATAGTCCTGGCCCTCAAGTGACTGAATCTACCCACTATCCTCCAAAGCAGTGTCTTGTCCCCACTAAGGAAATGTATGCCTCTAAAGGAATGGCAGTGTGTAGGGGTGACATAGGCACATGTCCTATATTATCAAACATTCAAGAAAAGCTGTAGTTTGAAGCAGAAGAAGAAATTTCTCGTCTAATTAATTTACAGCCATCATCAGCTAAGGGAGTTATCCAGGGCCAGAGAGGAGCTGGGAGGTCTCTGTAGGCACACAGGGTTCCCCTGACCTACATAACAGTGTCTATGAGCACAATACCTGGCACTGGTCTAGCAGCTGATGATTTGCAAAGTATGCTTCTTTAAGCCATGAAGCCATGGAGATGGAGGCCATATTAGAGGCCAGGGAGATGGAGGCCATATTAGAGTTTCCTGTTCCATTTTAATAGCATGGAAGAGACAGGAGAAAAATGAATGCCTGAACAAGAGTGAAAACTCAGAAATATTGTTTAATATATGATTCACCGAACTAGTAGAAGCATATGTGTTTTGTTTTTGTTTTTGTTTTTATTTTTGTTTTTGTTTTTGTTTTTTGCCCAGTAAGAACTCTAGAAAATGAATATTTAGGTCATCAAAATATTTGATAATGAGGCTTCAGTTTTCAAATGAAAACCTTATTAGACAGATGTATATTAGAATAGACACAGGAGCAGAATTTGCAGTACCCTAAAGATTATTGGTACTTTTGAGTAACGTGTCTGGAAAAAGATAGTAAAACCTGTGAGAGAAGCTTGTGTAGCAAAAGGTGGACCAAAGTGCAGTTGGTGGTCATTCCTAGGATGTCAGTACTCTTTCAAACTGTAGCACTTGTGAGGGCAGGCTGCTCAGATAACCCGGTGGTGTTCACACGGCATAAAGACAACACTCAGATCTTGAAACCTGTCTAGACGTTAGACATCAGAACAAGTTTGGCCAAGGAGTGATACACCAAGGCTTACCCAACAGTGGAGATGGCAGAGTTGAGTTTTAATGAAAAAGGTGCTGGGCATACTTGGTAGAATCATGCTGTAAATGAGTTCTCCATGACGAAGGCTTTGTATCAATCCCTTTGTTGGAAATAAGAATACAGCGATAGTTGCCTCACAATATGTGCCTCACAAGATTCACATAGGGCAAATGACATCATAATTGTACATATTTGGCGGAAAGATATGTAACTGTAGGCACATATGGCAGAATTTTTATCCAAGGCTGAGTTTTAGAATCACTAAATGGTACTATCACAGATAATGTATGGCACATGCCCTTCTTGTGGTCTAGATTTCACTGGTTTGCTGGTTGGTTTTCCCTGTCTTCTCTTTCAAGGCACTGAATCAATAATTAGGATCCTATTTTAAGTTTGACCCAGCCCTAGAATAGCAAGTTTTTCCCTGAGATTAACCAAAGCTACAAATTTTGTTAATCTCAGCGTTCTCAATTTAGATACACATAAATTGGTTTTCCTCCTTGAAAAACTTAACTGAAGATATAACAATATATGGCATGGCCTAGGTGCTCAGATAAGGTGATATCTCTTTCAATATTTATATGTTATTCAATAATATCTTTCTTCCCTGAATTGTTAAAGTTTTTTCTTCAATCCAAAGCAGGCGAAATGCCGGATTACAATTAAACATAATTTTCAAAGAACTATAAACCACAAGCAGTTGACCAGTACGCTCAAATATTCCACTGCAGGGGTTTCTAATGTCGCCACCTGGTGCATCTGTTGGAACATACTTACATCCTACGAGCAACTGCAGGGTTATTGCAGCCAACTCTCCCAAAAGCCATGCCATGCCTGGGAGGGGTGCTGCCAGCTACTGCTTCCCTAGTCTGCCCCAGGCCCAGCTCCATCTCGCCTGACTCACCCGCCTCTTCTTTGTGGTGAGCACCTCCCGGGGACCCTCGGTCGGTCAGCAGGCCTCACAGTCATCCAGCAGAGAGGACAGGGAGGCCACCTTTCTCACACTGCCACACAGGCTCTTTTTGCCCTCCCTAAAGAGTGAGTGTGTGACGAGCTCCATTTATAAAGCTAAGAGGGGTTGCTCTTCCTGCGTGTAACCTCTGCTCCTGGGAAACCTGTAGCGGCTGATGAAGATAGAGGATTGTTGCAAGAGCCAGGTGTATATTAACTTATTTAACCTACACAAGAGTTGCAACCACGTAGGTACTACATTACCCTATTTTACAGATAAAGAAACTGAGGTCTAGAGACAGGAAATTATCTACCTGTCCACCACCACTGAACTAGTATGCGGGAGTGGAAGATCACTAGGATCTGAAGCCACTGGTTCTTTCATTAGTGGCTGAACATTTAACCACTAGTAGACGACCTCTCAGTTGTCCCCCAGACATGGAAATAGTTGGCACCAGTTTAACGACCCTTCACATCAGGTGCATAAAAAGCAGAACAAAAAATTCTTTATTGAGTGGGTTGCTGTGTGTTGAGCATTGTCCTGTGCATCACACTGAGTGGTACTTACTTTAATGCTCGTACAATACCTGTACTATGAGAGTTACAAGCTGTTACTAACTCCATCTTTTGGGTGAGATGAGGCTTTCCAAAGTTATGTAACTACTCAAAAGATCAACCAGCTACCTATTCAGTAGAGTCCGGGTTCAAACATATATTCTGCTAACTTCACTCTCCTAACCATCGGCCAGAACCCATGAGTTTTAAAATCTAATAATCTTGCTCAAGAATTAGATGCTGAGCTACTGTAGAGAAAGGTAACCTAAGAAAATACCTCACCCAAAGTGTGTTCTTTTTAATTTAATACATCACTTGCCTCAATTTATCACCTTCAGTGACCTGTGTACACATTTCGTGTACACTGGGCCATCCTTTAGCCCATTCAGACATTTTACACACATTGTCCATTTTAATTTCCAATTACCTTTCCTCCCCCACTCTGTCCCCATTTCCATGTGGAGTAAGAGGAACCAGGTAGGCGTTAAAGAGGAGCGGGGTGAATACCTGGCTTCACTGGAGTCCACGTAGAAGCGTGAACGCAATATCAATGACTTGTGAACCAAAAGTCACACACAACCCTCAGCACCGCAGGCTGTGATAGAGGAGGGAACGAAGTACAGGTGAACCCGGAAAGGCATGACCAGGGGGAGCAGAGAGGCCTCATACTTCATATCGTACGCACTTCTGTAAAAAACCAGCTGAGATACCCATAACCAGTTGGACGACACAAGTAGATACTGAAATCATTTCTATTTTTCACTCCCTTTCTTTCTGGGGTTGTCAGATTTTGAATGTTAATATTTTAATGTAGATTTGGTGGTTAAGTAAGATATATTTTATGTTTTCTTTCTTATGCTTTCCCCCCCTTTGTAGTTTATAGTATACTCCGAAGTTTGAAAGTAAAATTCTTTTTCTTGACTTCTACACTTGGAAAATATTTATTCCCCCCTGCGTCTCAGTAGTATGCATCATAAACCAGCTCGGTTCAGCTTATTTACTTCCCTCTTGTTGCGGGCCTGTGATCAATGGTAGCTACACAGGCATATAATAGTAGAGGCTTTTGCTTTACAACATAAGAACATGAGCTATGGCAGCCTCCTTCCAGAGTGATAAGGAATGAAGCTTCCATTTTAAAAATCACCCTTTCAGAAGGGATGGGGATTTGGGGCCACCTGTAAGTGACTAGGCATGCATTACTGAAGCAGGAATTCCAGGTCCATAGTTTAGAAGGAATTGGTCTACACTAGAGAAATACCCAGGACCCAGGAAGAATTTTAATCCCACGGGCTGAATGGATGGAATGCCGGGAGCTGGCAGAAGCAAGAAGCAGGACAGCCTTACCCGGAGGGACATTCCTACTTCTGGGTGGAGGGCAGCCTGTTGATTCCAGTTGCCCACCCTGCAGCTCTTGGTTGCCCACCATGAGTAGGAGCAGTGAGCATCTCCGATAAAGTGCATGCCCTTCTGGGCTTCTTGGCAGTTGTCTTACGCCCTGCATCTCCCCTCCACCTTGCCAGTTACACGCAAACTGGAGGCTTTACTAGCATGTGGGGAAGTCTCAGCTCCCTGTTCATTCTGTCTTGTGCATCCACTGAGTTGGGCCTCTGACTGCTGTGCTGGGCACAATGTGTGTGAGCAGATTTTAAGACCAGAATTCTATCTGCCAGAAAGTGGGGAGATTCAGAAAGAGGCCACGGCACAGCAATACACTAAGATTACACCCTCACTGATCGATAGTAAGTGCTGGACCCTAACTCTAGATACCTATCTGTTACACACACTGCTGCTGCTATGGTTGTGGCGTGAATCAAGGCCGGCGAGGCATCGTTCTCATTCTGTCAAATTTAAAACCAAACTGAGGTGGTGGTTAGTCCACATGAAGAAAAAAGGAAAAAACAAAACATGCCTCTGTACCAGTAAGAAACCATTTTTATAGTTGTAGACAAAATAAAAGGCAGGCCTTGTGAAACTGGAA